TCTTTATTTCATAAAAAGAATAAAAATAAAAATTGATATCGTATCGTATTTTATGTAGACTAAAGCATAAATTTGTACATGGTAATTACTTGGAATACTATTGTATGTATAATAACCTGAATTGTTGTACAATAAAGATTATTCTATTCTATTCTATTCTAAATAGCAACACAATAGCAACAAACTCTGTTTTGTTAAATATTCGTATGGACTAGACATAGGAAAAAACCACAGTGAACTGTGATTTATCAAATTCAAATTTAACATATTATAAAAAAAATAAAATTGAAATCGCCTTTTATGTAGACTCTAAAGTCGTAGATCAACACACAATAGCAACAATCTCTGTTTTGTCAAATTATAAGAATTAAAAAAAAAAATACAATACTTATACAAAATCTATGATATGCCTGTGCCGATCCACAACCACCCGTTTCCAAGGGGTTGAGCCTTATGAGAAGAAAGGGCAAACAAACTCACGGCCAATTTATCATTCGATTTTTGAAACTACGAGTACATCGCCATCCGTGCAGTCAAACAATGACCAATAAAATATTTGTTTATTTATTAAAGTAACACAAAACTGCCAAAAGTAATATGTTAATACCTATAACTGAAATAATAACACTGTCTTAGAAACGCAAATACACAAACAAAGTGAAAAACTTATTCTCTAATATATTTTTTTGCATAATTAACATTCTATTTGATTATATTAATAACTAGCTTCATACTCGCAACTTCGTTTGCGTGGAATTTGAAAAGCGCTGCCTTAGTGGTGTAGTACGGTAAGCGACTGCAACCCATGAGGGGTTCGATTCCCGGACCGGGTTTTTTTTAATGAGGTTTTTCTAAGAGGAAAAATAGCCCAAGTTACTTACTACCTGGTAGTGAAATATTGTCAAAATCGGTAAAGCCGTTTTGAAGATTAGCCGCAACAAACAGACAGGCAAAAATTATTTAAACTAGTTTTTAGGCATCGGTATCGTGCAAGTAACGGTGTGAGCATGAAAAACCCTATTATTTTGACATTACAAACAAACACTTCAATTTTATTTATTTGTGTAGATTGAAATATATAAATACATACATTCGAGTCACAGGTATGTCAGGTCAGGGTCATAGGTAAGCATTATCCCTTTTCTACCAATCCCCTCCCTTATTATCTACTTATTCCTTTAATAAACTCCTAATTTTCCCAAATAAGTCCCTGAAGCTCCCAATTGGAAGCAATTACCTTGACCTCTATTACATAAGTGGAACTAAAATTACAGTTGACAAGTTGTGAGCGTTCCATATGCGTTTTACTATCCATTCCAGGACGTCGGTGTGACTTTGAGTGACGTGTAAGGCTGTAATTAATTTGAAGTACACTAATTTATTTGCATTTATATCAAGCGCTGAAGATGAAAACATATTGTTAGTTTAAAAAAATTACAATATGCAAGCAAAAGCTGCATATTAAAATAAATCTGAATTATTTCGCATTTCGGGAAATTATTTTGCATTTCGGGAGTTATTATTTTACGTGAAACTGGACTCAATGTGTTCCCAATTTTCCACAGTAATTCCTAAATTTGCCGACAATAAGCTTGCCCAGTGTTAAATAAGTGGCAAATAATAGTCAATACCTCTGTTTACTACAGGTTTAGGCGTTTATGTATGTATATGTATTATAAGTATATCACTCAAAGCCCCTTCTGGCTTCAACCCACAAACTGGTTGAGAAGAGCTCGCGTGCACCTAACACTAGATGCATTCACCGGGGAAAACCCATGCGATTCTCTCATACAGTTAAAATCGTTAGTATTGCGCGTGGGAAATACCGCTACTTTCTGGATTTGGTGAGCATTGAGACGTTATAAATGACTGTTTTATTGAGTCACATATGATTCGTAAATTAACATTTATATTACGTGCACGTCACTCAGGGAGTTAACGTAAAGATTACAGGTAAAGTGTATATTAAACGAGACTTATTACTTGTTATTGAAGGAAGGAAAACGTTGTGAGGAAACAAGTTTGGACCAAAATTTTTCGATAATATCCTCGTGGGTTTGGGTAATTTGTAAAATTATGTCAGGAGCACGAACCTTTGTTCAATCTAGTTATCGTAGTACAGGCTCTGCCTAGTGTGGGATCAGACTACCCTGAATGAGGTGTCTTAAGTTAGTAGTATATTGTTAGTAACGGACCCGCTAAAGGTTGTTTTTCTACATAAATTATTTCCAGTAAATATTTTGATAGTTAAATAAAAAATAACTAACTTATTGTAAGTATGTGGGGATAGGGTCCATGACTGAATGAGGAATGGAGTACTGTGACCGATGACGATAAACATAACAAAACATTAACCATTCATTTTCTCAATTCAATGTAATTTATTAACTTAACTGAAATATTTACACTGAAAATAGAAAAGGGAGGGAGGTTCGCCCTTACCCCAAGGGCAAAAAAAGCTTACGACCCATTCTCAGACCTACTAGACCTAGAGACTAAATATACAAAAAAAAATCATACAAATCGGTCAAGCCGTTTCGGAGGAGTTCGATAACAAACACAGTGACACGAGATTTTTATATATTAGATAATTTGTTTACTTCAATTACTTTTATTGTAAACAGATTACTCCATAGAATTATTTTAAGAAATATTATACTGACTCACTGCTGTCGTCGTAATTGATTCTCATTACTGAACCCTCTGGTTCAACGGTCAATCTATCTGTCGCGGGTTCAATTACCACCCTGGATGAATACTTGTGATAATACTTGTGTGATTGATGATCACGATTCTTCCTTCCAGGCTCAAGCAACATACGTGGCACAGGTCAGGCTCTGTCTGGATTGGGATCAGACGGTCGTGTTTGAGAACTGTTATACCTAGTGAAGTTAGACCTCGCTCTATGCGGTTTTTCAAATGACATTTAACAAAAGTGTGACTAATACGAAATAATCCATTAATGGCTATTAATGATTAATGAAACCGTCAAAGAATTGTCCATTAGACATACTCGTTAACCTATGATAAATTAAACCAACGGAAATAAATTGTACACTTTGTAGCTTTAGAATGCAAACAGTTGATATATGTATATATGAGTACATATATCAGCTGTTATATATGTACTACTATATACTGCGTATATATATAGATGTATACATATATTTATACTAATATTATAAATGCAAAAGTGTGTCTGTCTGTCTGTTACCTCTTCACTCTTTAACCGCTCAATCGATTCAGATAAAATTCGGTATAGAGATAGTTAGAGTTCCGGGAAAGGACATAGGATAGTTTTTATCCCAGAAATCTTCCTTTATGGGGGTGAGAAGGGGGGTGGAAGTTTGTATGGGGAATCAATAACCGCTGAAACGATGTAAATGAAAGGAATTGAGATAGTTTGATTCTTGAGGAAGAACATAGGCTATGTTACATAGGACATAGGGTAACCGATATACACGCGGGCGGAGCCACGGGCAATAGCTGATATATACGAGCAAATACATAGATATAGGTAAATATAGCTATAGTTTACACTCCTCAATCCCTTTGTAGAAACTATATCACCTTTCTATAATTACAACTTTCCCTTTCGTCAAATTCCTAATTTTCCCATTTAATGCCTAAAGTTGCCTTGTTGCATGCAAAAACTTGTCCCTGATAACGTGAGTGACACTAAACATATAATCGTACTCGTAGTTTGACTGCATAGCGTAAAGGGTTTAAGCGGTCATCTTGCCGCTTTCTACAGCGCTTAGTGTTGTGGGTTCAATCCCCACAATCATGTGACAAAATTCTGTGTTCTTTGTGTCCGTTTCATGTATGTTTGTAAAGTCCCCGCGACACAAGATATATTCCTGGTGCGGTAGTTGTCTTTTTAAAAGAAAAAAAGTTGACAAATCCGGTCGTTTAATACGTCTCTGTCTAGCCCCTTCGTGAATGTGGACGTAAGTGTGTGTTTAAACAGTTTTTTTAGTTAGTGAGTCAGTTTGATTGATTCATCATTCGATATTTTATTTATGTTATAGCATTTGATTGAAATAAGCTTGGCCGAATGGCAGTTACGTTTGAGATAATTGTAAAACTATGTGTGTGGTTTTATCTTCAATAATTAAAGTTTATTGCCCTGAACTTTAATAATATGTTAGATTACACAACTTTGCCGTTAAAACCAATTTTTTCCTTAACAGAATCGTTACCTCCTTACCTTAGGATACTTTAAAAAAGTTTAACACCGACTTGAATGCCAATATGTCATTATAAATATAAAAATAATAATTGTTATAATTCTTTGTGCTTTTGTTTTCCAGCTTTTAAGGGTGAGTATTGCCTTCAAACTTCAATGGAACCAGCAATTTCATTCGAATTGATAACCGCCTCCATGAAGTTTGTTAAAGTTAAAGTTTGTTGTTGTTTATTCATCTGTGCGGTAATATTAAGTTTAAGTAATATTAATTGTATCATTACAAATATCTATCATAACCAAATAGACCATAGATAATGAGACCATCAATAAATTGTAGTTTGAGTTACATCAGAAAGTTTAGTTTTTTTGTTTGATTTTAACTCTTCAGTCAAGAATGTTCAATGAAATTTAATATAAAATCCTTTTTACTCTTAAAGGTCTTAATTTTAACAGCTAGATATGCTTTTCTGTCTACCGTTCAATGATTGCATTTGAAAGTATCTCCCAAAATGATGGTCAAAGTGTCCATTTAATTTATGGTAAATTACAGTATCCCAAAACCTCCTTTCTAAGGAGAGGCCTATGTCCAGTAGAGGACTATTAAAGGCTGTTGATGACAGTGATCCGTTTTAATTTTGTTTATAACTTTAATTAAGTAACCTTTAAGGAAATGGAAACACTTTACCTAGAGATATAAAAAAAAACATGCGTATTATGCGTAAATAAAATAAAATAAATAAATTAAAATAAAGTATTTCTGTCACGTACAAACTCTTTTCACTTGTTTTTTTTTAAATAAATAAACACTTACGAGATCTAAAAATCCTATGTTGTCACTTTTTTTCTTCTCTGTGTGAACATCGTACGCCTCGCCCTTGTGGCTCACAAATCTTCTGCTCTGGCCCTTCATCACTTGAAAAAAATAAACTCACTGAACTATCAACGGTCTGTTGAAAAAAAGTAGTTTTTTTATTCACAGTGACGCACGATACGCGCGTGCTCGCTGGCGGGCAGAGCTTGACTGGCCGTTACTCCTCAGCGATGTACAATATGAACTTTAAGATTTTTTTTATCGGAAACGGGGAAACACAGGTCTAATATTGAATGGTCGTGGTTTTATTTTTAATTTGTTGACAATTACTTGTGACGTAGGTCTATTAATTGAGAGCAAATACTTCTTGGAAATGGTTTCAAATATAACGTGGCGTCAATGACTTCTAGGTATCAGTAATAGTCAAGGAACGTAACCTGATTTTTTTGACCGACTTCAAAAAAAAGACGAGGTTCTTAAAACGGAACATTCTGAATGAACTTACTTTCCGTTTGGTCCCATTCAAATATGAAGACAATCTACCTTCCCTAAGAGTAGAAAATTTAAGAACGAAGAATACAGATTATCTTTTGGTGCCGACGGTCGCCCGTGAAAAGCAAACTTTTAGGAATTAGTACCCTCATTTCTTATAGGTTTGAAGGTCCTATCGGTATCATTATACAAATTATCGTTATGTTTCTCTATGGTATAGGGACAAACGAGCGACCGTGATCTGATAGTAAGCTACTACCTCCGTGCATGGACACCTGCGACTGCGACGCACTGCGGTACAAGTGCGTTCCTGCCTTTTGAGTCCTCTCCCTTAGAATAAGGGGAACGGTGTAGGGCTCCGGTAATATAATTCACTAAGTGAAAAACACAAAAGAAATTTTAGAAGAAGAATGGTAATATCTCCCACGATGTAAGCGAATGCACTCTAATGAGAGTTGTTGTTCTGTGTCTGTGTGTTCTTTGTGTCCGATTCATGTATGTTTGTAAAGTCCCCTCGACACAGGATATATTCCGATTCGTTCCGATCGAGCCTCGATCTCACAACTGTCATAAAAGCTATTTTCATAGTAAAGTATTGAACATCCAACGTTGACTGTAATGTGATTATATCGTATTGTAACCGAACATTGAATCAGAAAAACTTTACTATTTTCAAAGAGAAAGCACCTATTATGATAGTTATGAGATCGAGAATTGATCGGCACTGAATTGTGACCGAACTTATATTGCGAGAATTGGAATTTAGATTTAAAGATGTTGCATTTTCTTAGATTTACTTCATCACAGAAACTATAAATTTGTATTCTTTTTGTGAAATAACAGTTATAGTGTGGTCCTGTTTTCCTTATGCATCCTTAATTATGATATCTATTGTAAGTGTGTTTTGCATAACATCCAATATGCTTTATTGATCACGTTTAAGAATTAAATTTACATATCGAATAAGAAAGATGACGAATCTTGAAACACATTGAAATAACAGACTGTGGCAATAAGCTAGCTTAACATAAAAAACAACGGGAATTTCTATGGATTCTAGTAAATATTGTTGACAGTTGTTTAATATGCCTCTGCCCATGCTTCCTTTTGGGGATACAGCGTGGTGGTATGTATGGGGGAGGACCTTTGTTAAGCAGTAAACGACGATAGGCTGATGATGATGAGGAACACATGAGGTTGCGGAAAAATAATACATTTATTTGTTACAAATTGTAAAAGCGTTGCTACAGAGTTGATAACTTTATAAATATTCGACGAGGAAGACGTGGCTAAGTGGTAATCGAGTATGTTAACACATTACAAAGTTAAACGTGGATGGGTGACCACTCCCGATGGGTTGCCGTACAAAGTGCAAGAAAGAAGAAAGACAAAGTTGGAGCCCTAAAAAGACCCATAACAGTCTATATACAGAACTTCGATATCGCCTCGTACCTACTTGGGTTGTTACTGATGGCGGTCGCTCCACGTAGGAAATCGAGATTAATGATATCTATATCGGTTAGACTGAGTAGGCGACTGCGGCTGCAGACAAATCTGGCGGGTGCCAGACTCGAAAGATTGTCCGTGTGGTGACACACGGTGATTCGAGCTATTACTTACATCCACCATAAGTACCCCCCCCCCCCCCACCCGTATGAGCAAGAACTAGCCCCTACCATTGACGTATCTTCTTATCTATCTAGCTGTTTTATTCGGTTGGTTGCAAGTAGCGTGCTGTATTACTACGTGTTACGTTAATGTATTTTTTTTTTTCTGATTTTCTTAAAAATGTCTACAAGTCAAAAGGAATTTACAAACATACATGAAATGGACACAAAGCACATCCAGACTCAGAAAAACAATTTGTGGATCACACAAAGTGTTCTCCCAAGCGAGGATCGAACCCATAACACTCAACGCATTAGGAAACGGCGAGGTGACCGCTGAACACACCTGTACCTATCCCTTCGAGTATATAGGCTTTTTTCTTTAGGTTGGGACTAATCCCACCCACACGCCCACCACTGTAACTCCTGTACACCAGGATCCACAGCAGTGACCCACGAACACACCGAGTTATGACACTCAGGAAGTCCCAGGAAGAAATTAAACTGTCTTGGAACCCGCAACGAAATTAATCAGAAGAAAATCAGGAAGCACCACGGCCATAAAATATTACGGGTCCTAGGTGAGCTATAATTGATTTCTACAATATGTATGGCAGAATCGCCTAAACGCACGGCAATTCACCCTAGTTGACACAAGATCCCCATAGTATACCGCCCCAGATGTCACCTGCAAGCTATTCAGCATTATATTACGTTCATTATACCAAAGACTACATTCCCAGAGGATATGATGAGCAGACTGTCCATAGTGAGAGTTAGGTGTTGAGCATTGACACAATGGTGACTCGACTAATTTAAATGAATACAGCTTGCCCTTAAAGTTACCAATTCCTTACGGGTGTAAGGAATTGAGCGACACAGTGATCCACCTCAAGCCATGTCCTCGACAACCGTTCGCGAACAGATAGAAAGAATTGGTAAAGATGGCGCCCCTTGGATGATTCATCCCAGCGTTGTTCTCCATTCGTCTATGAGGTCATTATAGACATCGGACTGCTGTTGAAGCAATCTTGTAATTTTACTGCGATCCCGGGCGCCCAAAAAATCGCATTCCATGTTTTTTGTCTTGAATAGTACATGGCTCCACGTCTCTGCACCTCGAGATCGACCGGAAGCACACCCGCCAACACCGACTTTCATTAACTATTTTAATATGTTCGATAAATGAAAAGTTTCTTTCTAAAACTAATCCTAAATAATACACTGTGGTTTTATTTTTTACAGTGACATTGTCAAATTTAATGGTCGGCGGTGATTTGAGGTTATCTTTATAGAATATAGGATAGCATAGGAATATATAGGCATAGGACGATACAAGGAATATAAAATTTGGAACATTTTAAGTTTATAAACAGGACAATCTTAAACCACATTCAACCTTAAAATATTCCCCGGGACCAAATAGTATTTTCAACAAGAGGTAATAAATTTACCTTATTTTACTTACCTACACTACAGGTTGTTGCAAGAGTTGTGACCATATTTCGGAGACAACTCTAAAATATGCGCTATGACAAGTCTTTCTCCGTGTCTGCGGTGCGACTGTGGGATTCTCTTCCCCACTCAATATGCGATAATCCATCCCTTAGTATTTTTAATAGGCGAATCAGGGAATTTTTCCTTTCTCAGCAGTAACAGACTAAGGTATACTAAGGTATTAGGTATATATACGTTTTATATGGTTAATGTCTGTGTGGTGACGGATTAAAAATACAGAGTGTCACCACCCCTATTCATCCCGTGTGTGATCGTAAGAGCCGACTAAGAGAAAAAAACCTACGCAGAACAACAACACTGCAGAGAGAAGGAAAACTTGACACAAACCCCTTTTTTTTTTTTTTTTTTTTTTTTTTTAACGTGTGGAAATCCCCTCGGGCCGTCACCCCTCCGGGGTTTGCGGCGGGGTGGTGTGTCGGACTCGGACCGACTAAAACCACACGGTGTGCCACTCTGCGCCTGTAACAGGAGGGATCCGGGAACAGCTGTTGTTAAGACATCCGGACCCTCCTAGCGCCAGCCCGCTCCTGGTGCGGGCTCCGTCTCAATATATTTTCCTCTCTTTAGGCGACGTCCGGCACACGCGGACGCCGCCCCCTCGCGGCTGGCCAAACTAATGCGGGTGGAGGGGAAACCCACCCCGTCCACCCGCGGCCACACTCAGGGCGGCATGAGGCTGTGATAGGCGGTTCCGCCGCCGCCCGGTTCGCCAGCGGCGGATCGGGTCCGAGTGGAGGTCGTCCTCCCGGGCCCTCTCCGCCGCCTCCTTCCACAAGATTACTACCTCGCAGAAGGTTGCGACCGCGGTAAAACAACTGTCGCTACCGGCCATGGAGCGTACTACGGCCGGTAGCGAAAGATCCACTCCGATGACTGCAGTGAGGGCCCGGCGCTGCGCCGCCCATGCGGGGCAGACACCTATAGCACCTGCGTCAGCCGGAAGGAAAGGGTCCCGTGCTGCCGCCCTGCCCACTCGGCGATGACCGGCTGGAGAGCCTCCACGGCGGCGAAGCCAGCGCGTGGAGTCTCCAGCCGGAACGACCAACGAGCCATCGTGGCTCGGCGAGCGGCTTCGCGCCACTCGCGCACATCCTCGGGCGGAGGGCGAAATCCGCTCTCCGCCCGGGAGTCAGCCACTCGCCGATAAACTTCGGCGAGCACTTCCGCCTCCAAATCCCACGGGGGAGTTCCGGCCAACGCGCATGCCACCTCCGTCGAAACGGTGCGGTAACCGCGTATGGCTCTGACCGCCATTACCCTCTGAGGGCGCCCTATTCTGGGCGGTCAGAGCCGCCGCCCACACCGGTGCACCGTACAGTGCCATTGACCGGAAAACCCCCGTGTACAGCCATCTTGTCGCGACGCTGGGTCCACCCATATTGGGCAAAAGTCGCCCTAGGGCAGACGCAGCGCCGACCAGCTTTGGAGCAAGCTGTCGGAAGTGCTCGTCGAAGAGCCACCTCCCGTCGAGGATCAGGCCCA